TGATATATAGCATTAATTCTTTTGGAGAATGAAATACTGAGCGTCTCTCTTTATGCCAAACTGAAAGTATACAGAGGCTATGAGACTTGTCACATCTTAATTCTTTTAATGGTGTAGTGACTCTTCTAAAGTAACATTGAAATTTTGATAACTAACCACCAAACGTGTTCACTAAGATAGTAGCCTAGTATCTCAGTAGTAAACTGAAATGGGGCAGCTGGTGGAGATGGTAAGAGTAAAATGCAAGAGGTTTATGAAGCACTTTGGAAACATTCTAAAGTGTAATTATAAGCTATGATATAAATGTGTAACTGGGGGAAGGCACGTGACAATTCAACCTAGTACAGAGTACAGTATGTCTATGCTTTCCTGTATATATAGAGAGACTTTAGGAAAAATGTGAAAATAAAGATCTGTTTAAGGTAACAAGCTCTATAAATAGCAAATGAAGAGGAAGAAAAACTGGATGATTGCTGTTGATGTACAAACATATACACACACACATCCATTGTGGCAAACAACTACTGGTCACCTGTTAGTCTTTTCAGTTATATTCTATTATAAATAAAATGGATAGCGGTTACTATTTGTATTTTGTTAAATACAAAGGATAATTTGGGACCATCTAGTGGGAGTGTATGTATATATAAAACTAGCCACTGAAGATTCAAAAGCTTCAGTTTTGATCCTTATTTTCAAAGGATCATAAGACTTTTGTTGCTATTAAGCAGTAGTACTTCTATTTTAAAGGTTTTAAAATATTTAAGCAAGTTTATAAATTGTAATTACAGATGATGTCTGTGCAGTTTTGAAGCTAGATAATACTGTGGTTGGTCAAACTAGCTGGAAACCCATTTCCAATCAGTCCTGGGACCAGAAGTTTACACTGGAACTAGACAGGGTAAGTTGAGAAATTTTTTACTTGAATTTTCATTATATTGATAATTTACTTTGAATGTAAATTTTATGTTTTAGAAGACTTTGAGAAGTTTTATTCTTAACAGAATAAAAGAAGAACCTAGGTATTTTTGACATTTCTCATCTGATAATTTGTATATAAATCTGCCTTAAGACAGAGGTGAATATCAGATTGCTGTAGTAGCTTTCCTTTGTGCGGTGATTTGAAAATGTATAGTTTATATTAACCTGAGAAGATTGACGACCAGGTGAGATCTAATATTGAAATACATTTATTTTAGTAATGCACTCTCTATCCACTAAGGTGATTCTTCTAACTCAACATTTGTAGGTTATATTATCAAAGCTTGATTTGAAATGAGCTATTGTGCTCAGTCACCCAGCTCTCCCTGTGTCTCAGTGGCTTTCATGAATGGTATGAATGGTTAGAATGCAATCTGTAGCTGTAGAACCCAGCAAAAGTTAACTTGGTCCACGTTGGATTCAAATCCCTGATGATAACTTTATTATTTAGCTTCGAGTCCATCCATTGGGGTGTTGGAAGAAAATATTAAAACTTAATCATAGTTTTATCTAAAAATTAAGAAAGATATTAAGCTTTTTTACTATTTAGTATTCAGATTGAAGGTACATATGTCATTTTAAAAGTTACGTGTATTAGTGAAAGCAGATTTATAGTGCTTAATGATATTGTGAGGTGGTGATTACTCCTCTAGTCTCTACTTTTAAAATGTTTTTCCAGTTTATTTTTTTCTATCCTTGTAGCCAGTATCCTACTCGGGCCCTCATCATTGCTTTTCTTGGTTCAAATATTGTGTCTGCCACTTAAATGTGGTATGCACTTGAACAAAATGCTTAACCTTTTATGTATGTATACCAGTTTCCTTATCTTTAATACTATCTACCTCACTGAGATGTATGAGAGTGAAATCCATGTAAAAGTCTTAGACTAGTGGTAAGAACTTGACTAATGTTAGCTATTTTTACTAAAGTAATTTACTAACTAATTTCCCTGTGTCTAAGTACCACACTGATCTTCAAAGAACGCTACTTTCACCTTGGCATTCATACTCTGGTTGACGATCATTCCTTTATTCATTAAAAATTATTATGAAATTATTTATTCATTCATTTAATCAACAAATATTTATTGATACCTACTCTATTTTAGGCACTTCCAGGTGGTAGATTAGCAGCGAACAACATAAACAAGGTCTATCAAGGTTTCCTCAAGGAACTTATACTTCAATGGCTTTTCATTATATATCTGATGAATTGCAGACTTTTTACCGTTACATCTGAGACTGTATAAGAGTCTGCCACCTCATTTACTAAACATAGCTTTATTTCAATGATTTCAGTTAAAAAGATATTGAGGACTTTGAATGCTAGGCTAAGGTGTTTACTTGTTGGTAGTGGGAGTGGGAGAGACATAACGGAAAAATTGATTTTGGGATTTGTATGAGGAAAGAATTTGAAGGAGGGGAGACTAAAGTCATATAAATAGGCAAGAGGTTGCTCCAGTGCTACAACTGTAAGATGATGACAGCTTGAAGTAAAATGTGGCAGTAGGAATAGAAAGAAAAGAATATATGTAGGAAATGAAGGAAAAATTAGTATGACTTAGTAACTAATTGGATATGAGTACAGAGAAGGGAATTTGTCTGTAATTTGCAGAGAAAATGATGCCACGTAAGTTAGAAAAGATCTACAGTTATGCACCACTTAATGATGGGGATACGTTCTGAGAAATGCATCGTTAGGCAATTTCATCATTGTGTGAACATCGTAGAGCGTACTTACACAAACTTAGATGGTACAGCCTACTACACACCTAGGCTATATGATACTTATCTTACAGGACTACTGTCATATATGCAGTTCATTGTTGACTGAAATGTCATTATGAGGCACATGACTATTGGAGAGGGATGGATTCTATACACCTAGTTTTCTAGCAGTTAAATAAAGATGTGGAATTAGATGTCAGGGCTGGATAGTGGATTTGGAGGTCACCTGATTAGAGGTCACAGTGAATGCCATCCAAGTGGATAAGATCAGTCCATTTATTTCACAGATATTTATTGAACATCTTATATGTACCAGGCACTTTATTAGATTCTAGGTTTACAGAGATAATATATACTCATTGGTATAATGGAACTCTTAGGCTTAATAATGATTAATTTTCTGTTCTATGCCAAGCATCATTCTAGATGCTGGTGATGATTGATCAAAATAGTCACAGTCTCTATGCTTATGGACCTTATATTCTAATGACAGATAATAAGTAGTAAACAAGTTTAAAAAAATCTACAAATGCAATGAAGGACATAAGTAAGGTGGTGTAATGAGGAGGTGGGGGCTACTTTAGGTAGAGTAATTAGGGAAAGTCTCTTTGAGGAGGCTACATTTGACCTGAGACCTATTGAGTGAAAAGTTGCCAGACTTGCAAAGATCCAGAGAGAGTGTTGCCAGCAGAGGAGACAGAACATACAGCCCCTTGAAGTCGGAGAGAACTTGATTTATTGTAAGCATAAAAATCGTGACACAGAAGGTCAGTGTGAAGTAAAACAGCAGACATAGGCAGATGCCCTATTACTAAGGACTTTATAGGCTATGAATTGGAAGACAGTTGAAGGGGAGTTGACATCGTCTGGTTTACCTATGGTAAATGATCTGATAGAAATAAGTCCTACCCAGAGCAATCAGGCAAGAAAGAGAAATAAAAGGGATCCAAATTGGAAAGGAAGAAGTGAAACCGTCCCTATTTGCAGATGACATGATTTTATATATAGAAAACCCTAAAGAATACACCAAAAAACTTTTAGAAATTATAAATGAATATGGTAAAGTCGCAGGATACAAAATCAACATACAAAAATCAGTTGCATTTGTATACACTAACAATGATGCAGCAGAAAGAGAAATTAAGAATACAGTCCCACTTACAGTTGCAACAAAAAGAATAAAATATCTAAGAATAAACTTAACCAAAGAGGTGAAAGATCTGTACACTCAAAACTATAAAACATTGTTGAAAGAAATTGAAGAAGACACAAAGAAATGGAAAGATATTCCATGGTCTTGGATCGGAAGAATTAATGTAGTTAAGATGTCCATACTTCCTAGAGAAATCTGTTGATTCAATGCAATCCCTATCAAAAGTTCCAACAACATTTTTCACAGAAATAGAACAAAGAATCCTAAAATTGATGTGGAACAACAAAAGACCCCAAATAGCCAAAGGAATCCTGAGAAAAAAAGAACAAAGCTGGAGGTATCACACTCCCTGATTTCAAAATATACTACAAAGCTATAGTAACCAAAATAGCATGGTACTGGCACAAAAACAGACACACAGATCAAAGGAATAGAATCGAGAGCCCAGAAATAAATCCACACATCTGCGGACAGCTAATTTTTGACAAAGGAGCCAAAACATACAATGGGGAAAGGAAAGTCTCTTCAACAAATGGTGTTGGGAAAACTGGACAGCCACATGCAAAAAAAGGAAAGTAGACCATTATCTTACACCATACACAAAAATTAACTCAAAATGGATTAAAGACTTGAATGTAACACCTGAAACCATAAAACTTCCAGAAGAAAACATAGGAAGTATGCTCTTCGACACCAGTCTTAGCAACATATTTTCAAGTACCATGTCTGACTGGGCAGGAGAAACAATAGAAAAAATAAACAAATGGGACTACATCGAACTAAAAAGCTTCTGCACAGCAAAGGAAACCATCAACAAAACGAAAAGACAACCTAACAATTAGGAGAAGATATTTGCAAACCATATATCTGATAAGGGGTTAATCTCCAAAATATATAAAGAACTCATAAACTCATACGTCTCAACAACAAAAAAACTAACAATGGGCAAAAGACCTGAACAGACATTTCTCCAAAGAAGATATACAGATGGCCAACAGGCATATGAAAAGATGTTCAACATCCTTAACTATCAGGGAACTTCAAATCAAAACTACGAGATAGCACCTCATTCCCGGCAGAATGGCTATTATTAACAAGACGGGAAACAACAAGTGTAGGAGAGGATGTGGAAAGAAGGGAACTCTCATACACTGCTAGTGGGAGTACAAGCTGGTGCAGCCGCTATGGAAAACAGTATGAAAACACGAATGTGTAAAGATACATGCACCCCTGTGTTCATTGCAGCATTATTCACAATAGCCAAGACTTGGAAGCAACCTAAGTGTCCATCAAGGGACAAATGGATAAAGAAGACATGGTATATACAATGGAATACTACTCAGCCATAAGAAACGATGAAATCCAGCCACTTGTGACAACATGGACGGACCTTGAGGGTATTATGCTAAGTGAAATAAGTCAGAGGGAGAAGGTCAGATATCATAGGATCTCACTGATAAGTAAAAGAGAAAAACAAACACATAGAGACAGAGATTGGATTGGTGGTTACCAGAGGGGAAGAGGGGAGGGAGGAGAGCGAAAGGGATGATTAGACACGTGTGTGTGGTGATGGATTGTAATTAGTGTTTGGGTAGTGAACATGATGTAATCTGTGCAGAAGTAGAAGTATAATGATGTACACCTGAAATTTATACAATGTTATAGACCAATGTTACTGTAATAAAAAAAGGAAAAAAAGTTAATGAACATAAAAAAAGAAAGAAAAATACCATGTATTAGAAGCTAATAAAAGAGTTACTAACCCGTAATGGGACAGAATTTATAAAGAAAGACAAGGTCTAACAATCAAATCTTAAGCAATATCCCAAGGGTAGAAGGAGAAAGAAGGTTTGCCAAAGAGAAATAGAAAACTTTGAGCTGGATCAGATCATATCTTTGATCAGATAAGCATTATAAAAGCTTATCCAGTGAAGAATTGTGAGAATGGTGAGATGGTAAAAATCCTGTTACGTATGGAACAATTGAAGGAAAATTTTATGAAGGAAAATTTTAAGTCTTTTAAAGAAGAGATTTAACAAAGAAGTGATATAACTATCTTTAAGTTAAAAGGAGGAACATGTGGAAAAAGAATTAAACTAGGGATAGCAATGAGATTTCAATTTTTGCGTCAACTCTCACCAATTGGTAGTGACTTTCTGGAGCTGACTGTTAAGATTTACTGGATAGGTCCTGGTTTTCAGGAAGATTTTACTGATCAAGTAGCAATATTTGCCAAATGTTTGGAGATGGGACAAGTCGTAAGTTGTAGTACATAGTCCATTCTTATATTGACTGTATACTTTGTGGCCTTGGAGGACAAAGCAAAAGTCAGTGGATGGCAGATTTCATTTCAGTCCAAAAATAATACTGTTAAAAAATGAAATGGTGGGGCTGGCCCAGTGGCGCAGTGGTTGAGTGCGTGCACTCTGCTGCCTTGGCCCAAGGGTTCGCAGGTTCAGATCCTGGGCGCACACTGACGCACTGCTCATCAAGCCATGCTGTGGCAGCGTCCCGTATAAAGTAGAGGAAGATGGGCATGGATGTTAGGCCAGGGCCAATCTTCCTCAGCAATAAAGAGGAGGATTGGCATCGGATGTTAGCTCAGAGCTGGTCTTCCTCACCAAAAAAAAAAAAAGGAAATGAGCTGCTATAGGAAATAGTAAGTTCTCTCGATAAAGTTGAATGAACAACTTATAAGAGAGACTTTAAGGGAATTCTTGTATCAGAAAAAGATAACACTTCCAAGATTTTTTTCAATTCTGATACTTTCAGGCAGGAGAAGTAGCATTATAACATGCTGTAAATTAGCTGTTTAACTAAATAGTTAGACCAATAAAATTCAGTCAAGTCCACCAGAGAGGGAAATACAGTTGAGGTTGTTAGTGTATATAGATACAGTCTTCACGACTTGTTATATTTGTGTCTTTTTTCTATACTGTGTGAATACATATAAATATGACCATAAAATGTTTCTTGTAGTTTCCATTCATTTTTCACATAATAGGTTTGCTATAACATTAGCTTTGACAAACTGGGTTCATTGTTCATCTGCTACTTACTAGTTATTTGATAGTAGACAAGTTACATAACTTTACTACTGGGCATTTGTTTCACTCTAAAGATGATTTGTTTCATCTAGAGATGTTTCACATCTCTAAAATGGGGGTAAACTGTAATACTCACAGGACTGTTAGCAAGAAAAACTGAGGTAGTATATGTAAAATGCCTTGTGTTGCCTGGCACGTTTTAGCCACTCAATGATAGTAGTTCTTTCTTTAGCCCTAGTCTTTGATGTGTGGCTGTGAATTTGAGTATAATGGAAGAGTATGTTAGTTAATGGGGAATTAATTGGTTGAATGTCATTTTCTTTCATTTCAGAGCCTATTTAAAGTAATTATAGGATTTTTGATGAGTATGTGATCAGAATGAAACTTAAGAAAGAGAATTAGTGTTAGAGGGAAAATGACTGGTTAGAAGATTTCTTTTGTAGCTGAGTTATTGCATTATGGAGTTTTATATTTAAAATAAAACTTGAAAGTTGAGTGGCTACTATCATTGAGTGGCTAAAACGTGCCAGGCAACACAAGGCATTTTATATATACTACCTCAGTTTTTCTTGCTAAAGTTGTCTTGCCGTCATTTTATGGTTAAGGAAACAGAACCAGAGTAGTCACATATTAATAAATTTCAGAGCTGGGACTAGAACTTTAATGTCCTTCTAAAAGGATGCTCTTTCCTCTATGGTAATTTGAATGAGTTAGATAACAGTAGCACAAAGGAGGAAACAGCCGATGATGAAAACCTGGAAGAGAGAAAATAGTTTAAAATTACCCAAACTAAAAAGCTTAGAAAACTAGAAAAACTGATATCTGTCGGTTGGTTGTTCTTTGTTTGCGATTGTAATCTTGACCTAAAATTGTTTTTCTTCTACATGGTATCAGATATTCTTCCCACTTTAGAGTAATCCTCCTTTTGAAACTTTGAAGACTGTGTGGCTAAGTAAAGCTATTCATCTTTCAGGCCAACTAGACCTTCTTGGTTCCTGCTATGCATGTTACTTGTTCCTAAACTTCTCTCCACACTCCTTATTATGATAACTCCTCTGTTTATGTAGTACATTTTACTTTTTCATGTGCTTTTTACTCTTTTATTTTGTCCCTTATATTTATAGCATATTTATTTATAGAAAATGTTTATGGAAACATGGAAAATGTTATTTTAAACTGACATGTTCATGCCCAGCATTTTGCCTCAAATGTCAAGTTTCTTTTCTGTGGCATTCTGGAGCTAAGTTGTCTGTGCTGTTTCTATCCTTTCTGAGATACAAAGATTCATAGGTCTTTTCAGAGTTGTAAGATACTCTAGAAATGATCTAGATCTAGAATGATGTAAAAAGTTCAAATTAGGTTCCTGGAGCTCAGCACTCTGCAGAATGGTCTCAGGAGGCGACATGGAACCTTTGCTTTGTTTTGGGATTCTTGGTAAGAGGTCATTTGGAATTTGCCACTTAAAAAAAAGGTTTGATAATTGCTGATGTAATCCATCCCCCTCATTTTACAGATTAATAAGGAAATTATGGCCTAGGGGTTAAATAACTAGCCTAAATTATGATCCAGGATTTGTAATGAAGTCTACTGACTTTTGGTTCTGTGTTCTTTCTGTTCTTATCAGGTTACCATTTTTATATTTTGTATAGAATTTGCTCTTTATTAATGTTGATTATAAACACAATAGCTATGTAATTTCTTATTTTCTGTGAGTTCCCTCAGCCCTCCTCTTATAAAAAGTTTAATCCTCCCATGAGAGATTGCAATAAAAGGCAAGAGGGTACACTAAACCCTTCTATCTAACCTTTTCCCTTTCACATTTCCTTTTGATTAACCTTACTAAAGTAATAGAGTACAATCTTTATCACTATTAGAAGTAGGGAAGGGCCCTGTCCTTAAAACTGAAATTTAGAAGATTTTTAGCAGGAATCAGTGCTGTTAAGAGCAGACTAATAGAGAATGTTCACTTAGTGGAAAAGCAGGGAGACAGGACATTGAGAGAGTGAGAGCCAGTGAAAATGTAGTAGAATTAACGGATTGGAGGTAACATTGGGGTTGAAGGATCAGTGGATGTTGAGGTACTAGGGAGAGTGAGCTAGAATGTTGGGAGGGTGATGGTCAGAGAGAAGAATTTGAAAACATGTGCAAAGAATGAGTGATAAAAAAGACTAGGCAGAGTTTCAAAAAAACGAATAAAATGAAATTATAGACATCTGGGATTTGCTTCAGAATAATTGGGGGAAAGGTGGTGATGAAACATTATTGACTATTAGTGATAAATTGTTGAAGCTGGGTGGGAAGGAGAATCATGTAAAACTTAGAGAAATAGGAAATACAACATTTGAAATTGAAACTAAGTGGATGGGTTAAATATCAGAAGAAAGTTAGTGGTGTGGAAGATAGAGCTAAAATGCCGAGTACAACATACAGAAACAAAGAGATGAAAAATATGAAAGAGAGGCAAAGAGACATAAAGGATAGAATGAGAATGACTAGCATACTAAGTGGAGTTCCAGAATGAGGGAATGGAGAGAATGGGGCAGTGGCCATGTCTGAAGCAGTAATGACCTAGATTTAGGTCCATCCAAATGGGCTGGATTTAGTCAAGAATGCTTTTGTGGAGGACATGGATGGTTAATCTGGCTTTGATAAAAGGAGAGAATTTGGACTGGTGTGTGTGAGGAAAAGAGTAGTATGAAATCTTATATGACAATATAAGTTTTGGCTGGAGAATAAGATATAAGATTAGAAATAGGAACTATGTATAGACACAGAGACAGAAAAGCTTGTAATAGTTTTGGAATAATAGAGAGTCTTTGGAACTTTACATAGGGTGTGAATTGATATGTGATGCAGTAACTGTTTTAACACTAAATAGTTTGAATCATAATTGTTTACTTCACTCTTTCTCTATAAAGGGAGCAGAGTCACCACATCTATAGGAAACTGACTTTTCAAACGAAGATCACAGCCTTATTGGAGAGACATTGTCTCTGTCTCCTACTCTTCTGTCTGGATTTCTCACCCTCCCGGAAGATCCTAAGGTTTCCCTCTTTTTGTCACTTATGTTCCAGCTGGAGAATCCCCTCATTGGACTCCTGAACTGAAAAACAGATATTACTGTTGCCTGAGGTGGTTGTTTTCTGTTTGCCTTAGTGGATTCCAGTGGCCTGCCTTCCCTGTCTTACTCTTTGCCCCTGGAGGCTGATAGCTGCAAACTTGAATCACTGGGCTCTGACTTAAAATGGGAGACTGTTGGGAGATCTAAGGGCAGGAGGAAAGAGAATTCAGGGTGTTTGTTTCCCTCTCTCCTTGCCTGTTTTCACAACAGTCTTCATCTATGACTACAGCTCCTGTTGGACAGTCTCTTTTCCAAGATACAGTTCTCATTGGATTCTGGTAACATTTTGCCTTTTGTCCGTTCAGGCTAGGGGTGGTAATGGATTTCTACTGTTGCTAGTCCTCAGATCCTTACTATCCCTTGTTGGTTCCTTAACCTTAATCATGCCTTCATAAATAGCCAATTTTTTTTTCTTTTGTTAAGTTTTTTTTTTTCTTGTGAAATTTTTGTTGTACATTATTCTTTGTCAGTCACCATATAAGTGCATTCCTCCACCCCTTGTGCCCACCCCCACCCCCCTAGCCCTTGGTAACCACCACATAATTCTATCTGTCTGTGTGTTGGTTTATCTTCCATATATGAGTGAAATCATGTACTGTTTGTCTTTCTCTTTCTGGCTTATTTTGCTTAACATAATACCCGCCAGGTCCATCCATGTTGTTGCAAATGGGACAATTTTGTCTTTTTTTTTTATGGCTGAGTAGTATTCCATGGTGTATATATATACCACATCTTCTTTATCCAATCATCAGTTGAGGGACACTTGGGTTGCTTCCATGTCTTGGCTATAGTGAATAATGCTGCGATGAACATAGGGGTGCATAAGCCTCTTTGGATTGTTGATTTCAGGTTCGTTGTGTAGGTACCCAGTAGTGGGATAGCTGGATCATAAGGTCTATTTTTAATTGTTTAAGGAATGTCCGTACTGTTTTCTATAGAGGCTGCACCAGTTTGCATTCCCACCAGCAGTAGATTAGGGTGCCCATTTCTCCACAGCCTCTCCAGCATTTGTTGTTTTTTGTCTTGGTGATTATACCCATTCTAACAGGTATAAGATGATATCTCAGTGTGATTTTGATTTGCATTTCCCTAATGATTAGTGATGTTGAACATCTTTTTACGTGCCTATTGGCCATCTGTATATCTTCTTTGGAGGAGTGTCTGTTCATTTCCTCTTCCCATTTTGTGATCAGATTGTTTGTTTTTTTGTTATTCAGTTGTGTGAGTTCTTTATATATTATGGAGATTAATCCTTTGTCAGATATATGGTTTGCAAATATCTTTTCCCAGTTGATGGGTTCCCTATTCATTTTGATCCTGGTTTCCTTTGCCTTGTAGAAGCTCTTTAATCTGTTGAAGTCCCACTTGTTTATTTTTTCTTTTGGTTCCCTTGTCTGAGTAGACATGGAATTCAAGAAGATCCCTTTATGGCTGATGACGAGTAGTGTACTACCTATATTTTCCTCCAGGAGTTTTATAGTTTCAGGTCTCAGCTTCAGGTCTTTGATCCATTTTGTGTTAATTTTTGTGTATGGTGAAAGAAGATGGTCAACTTTCATTCTTTTGCAAGTGGCTGTCCAGTTTTCCCAGCACCATTTATTGAAGAGACTTTCCTTTCTCCACTGTATGTCCTTATCTCCTTTGTCAAAGGTTAGCTGCCTGTAGATAGGATGTTTTATTTCTGGGCTTTCAATTCTGTTCCATTGATCTGTGTGTCTGTTTTTGTACCAGTACCACACTGTTTTAATTACTATTGCTTTGTAGTATGTTTTGAAGTCAGGAATTGTGATGCCTCCAGCCTTGTTCTTCTTTTTCAGGATTGCTTGAGCTATTCGGGGTCTTTTGTTGCCCCATATGAATGTTAGTATTCTTTGTTCTATTTCTGTGAAGAATGTCCTTGGTGTTCTGATTGGGATTGCATTGAATCTGTAGACTGCTTTAGGTAGTGTGGACATTTTAACTATGTTTATTCTTCCAATCCAAGTGCGTGGAATATTTTTCCATTTCTTTCTATGTCATCATTGATTTCACTCAATAATGTCTTATAGTTTTCATTGTATAGGTCTTCCACTTCCTTGGTTAAATTTACTCCTAGATATTTTATTCTTTTTGTTGCAATTGTAAATGGGATTGTCTTCTTGAGTTCTCTTTCTGTTAGTTCATTGTTGATATATAGAAATGCAACTGATTTCTGTAAGTTGATTTTGCACCCTGCCACTTGGCTGTAGTTGTTGATTATTTCTAATAGTTTTCCAATGGATTCTTTAGGGTTTTCTATATATAAGATCATGTCATCTGCAAACAGTGAGAGTTTCACTTCTTCGTTGCTTATTTGGATTCCTTTTATTCCTTTTTCTTGCCTAATTGCTCTGGCCAGAACCTCCAGTACTGTGTTGAATAAGATTGGGGAGAATGGGCACCCTTGTCTTGTCCCTGTTTTCAGAGGGATGGCTTCCAGTTTTTCCCCATTGAGTGTGATGTTGGCTGTGGGTTTGTCATATATGGCCTTTATTATGTTGGGGTACTTTCCTTCTATACCCATTTTGTTGAGAGTTTTTATCGTAAATGGATGTTGGCTCTTGTCAAAAGCCTTCTCTGCATCTATTGAGATGATCATATGGTTTTTATTCCTCATTTTGTTAATGTGGTGTATATCACATTGATTGATTTGCAGATGTTGAACCATCCCTGTGTCCCTGGTATAAATCCCACTTGATCATGGTGTATGATCTTTTTAATGTATTGCTGCATTCGGTTTGCCAATATTTTGTTGAGGATTTTTGCATCTATGTTCATCAGGGATATTGGTCTGTAGTTTTCCTTCTTCGTATTGTCTTTGTCTGGCTTTGGTATCAGGGTGATGTTGGCTTCCTAGAATGTGTTGGGAAGCATTCCATCTTCCTCTATTTTTTGGAATAGTTTGATAAGGATAGGTATTAAGTCCTCTTTGAATGTTTGGTAAAATTCTCCAGAGAAGCCATCTGGTCCTGGACTTTTATGTTTGGGGAGGTTTTTGATTACTGTTTCAATGTCTTTACTTGTGATTGGTCTATTCAGATTCTCTGTTTGTTCTTGATTCAGTTTTGGGAAGTTGTCTGAGTCTAAGAATTTATCCATTTCTTCTAGATTGTGCAATTTGTTGGCATATAGTTTTTCATAGTATTCTCTTACAATCTTTTGTATTTCTGTGGTATCTATTGTAATTTCTCCTTTTTCATTTATAATTTTATTTGAGCCTTCTCTCTTTTTTTCTTGGTGAGTCTGGGATAAATAGCCAATTTTTAAAACTCAAACCCTTTGAGTGTGCAATTTGTTTGCTGCTGGGACCCTAATTGATATGTTTCCCCAGTCTGTGTTGTCCTCAGAAGCCCATAGGAGACCAGTTAATAGAAGACCAATTAATATGACATCTGCCATCTTCACCTTTATGAAATCTCACCTTTCCTTGGCTCTTGACTTTTCCATGCTTTGAGTAATTTTCTCTTTTAGTGGCTGCAGAAGGTTTGGTTTTTGCCCTTTCTTTTCTTTTCAGCAGTGGAGCCTAGCTCTCATTCTTCTAACAGAGGTTCCCAAACTTTCTTGATTCACAGCATCCTCAGTGTCCCAGTAATTTTTTTAACAATGTGTCTCTAGGCCAGAAGGAATACCCAACAGGTCCATTTACTAAGAAGTAGTTACTAACTAAAAAGCTTCTGCACAGCAAAGGAAACTATCAACAAAATGAAAAGGCAACCTACAGAATGGGAGAAAATATTTATACATCATCTATCTGATAAAGGATTAATATCCAAAATACATAAAGAACTCACACAACTCAGTAGCAAAAAAAACAAACGATCCTATTAAACAATGGACAGAGGAACTGAATAGACATTTTTGTAAAGGAGACGTCCAAATGGCCAACAGGTACAGTGAAAGGAGCTCAACATCACTAAGCATCAGGGAAATGCAAATCAAAACCACAATGAGATATCACCTCACACCTGTTAGAATGGCTATCATCAAGAACACGAGATAAGTGTTGATGAAGATGTGGAGAAAAAGGAACCCTTGTGCACTGTTGGTGGGATTGTAAATTGGTGTGGGCACTGTGGAAAACAGTATGGAGGTTCCTCAAAAAATTAAAAATAGAACTCCAATGTGATCCAGCAATTCTACTTCTGAGTATTATCCGAAGAAAACAAAAACACTATTTCAAAAAGACATATGCATCCCATGTTCACTACGCTATTCACAGTGGCCAAGATACAGAAACAACCTGAGTATCTGTCAGTAGATGAATGGATAAAGAGGATGTGGTATATATGTACAGTACAATATTATTCAGCCCTGAGAAAGAAGGAAATCCTGTTATTTGCAACAATACGGATGGACCTCGAAGACATTATGCTAAGTGAAATAAGCCTGACAGAGAAAGACAAATACTGCATGATATCCCTTATATGTGGAATCTTATTTTAAAAAAGTCAAACTCTTAGAAACAGAGAATAGAAAAGTGGTTGCCAGGGGGTGGGGGAAATAGGGAGAGGCTGTTAAAAAGGTACAGACTTCCGGCTATAAGATGAATAAGGTCTGAGCCTCTAATGTGTAACATGGTAACAATAGTTAATACTGTATTGTATAAATAAAATTTGCTTTGAGAATAGAACTTAGACATTCTCACCAAATTTTGTAAGATGATGGATTAACTAGATGGGAGGAATCCTTTCACAAAGTATACGTATATCAAATCATCATGAGATATACTTTAAATATCTTACCGTATTATTTTCAATTATACCTCAAAACAAAAATAGTAGTTATTGGGGCTCGCCCCATGGTGTAGTGGTTAAGTTCATGCACTCCGTCTCGGTGGCCTGGGTTCGTGGGTTTGGATCCTGTGTGTGGACCTACATCACTTGTCAGCCACGCTGTGGCGGAGACCCACATACAAAATAAAGGAAGATTGGCACAGATGTTAGCTCAGGGCTAATCTTCCTCAAGCAGAAAGAAACGAGGAAGATTGGTGGTGGATATTAGCTCAGGGCAAATCTTCCTTGGAAAAAAAAGAAAAAGTAGTTACTGATTTAGTACTTATGACCTAACAAATCAGTACCTTTTGAGGGAAAAAAACACTGAAAAAAGATAGTATTTTTATTGCATTTTTATGTAACCACTTACTAATGGGGTATGTCTACCTATTGTACACTATATAAGTATTCAAAGCTTGGAATCAGACTGGACACTGCACCCTTAATCTCCTCTTCCACATTGATTTTTGTGGAAAAATCAATTGTTGAAAACCCAGTTTAGCAAAGATATGATGTTATCAAAAGGAATATGGTACATTCTAGTGTTGAAACTATGAACTTACCGTGAGCTAGTATTTCTTATGGTGTCTCAGATTTCACTATATTTTGTTTGAAAAGTTAAAATATCCTCCATTGTCCCAGACTTCCTCACGAATAGTTTGGGAACCTCAGCCTTCTTTGTGCTTCAGTTCTTTTTATGCTGGATGTGTACTGGGTTTTTTAAATTGCAACACAATTTTTAATGTGTTGCTCTCCTTCCTCTCACTTGTAGGGCTGCTTCAATGTCTGTTACCTTTTTCTATTTACTTTCAGTCCTTACAGAGACTTCAGACAAACCATAGAGATTCCTACCACAGAGTTCTCTCTCTGACCCTAGGTGCAGATTTATAATAAGACAAAATGAAACACAAGTTGGGACAGTTTGCCAGTACTGCCAATCAGTACCTATCTCAGATCGTATTGTTCAGCTGTTTTGGTGGTGATTTCACTCCATCTAGAGATTTGTTGCTCATGGAGTTTGGCATTACCTACAAGCATGCCCTTCCTTTATAGAACTGACCTGCTTCATCCGGAAAATCACCAGCAAACGAGCAGTCACTTGCAGTTTAAATTCTATAAACATTAGTGGCATCTCCTTATGTAGAAGGTACTTTGCTTTTTAGATGTTATATCCCTGCTTTACCTCTCCAAATCACACCAAATGTTAGAGATTAAAGAAAGATTGGGGTTCCATGAAACAGTGTTATGAGTACTGACATAAAATATCTTAATCTGCTCTAGATCACAGACACCCTCCCCCTTAAATTATGGAGAGAGTGATACAGAGAACAATGCAAAGTAACAAAAAGTAAAGAGCTTTATACCTAAAACCTTGGTGAAGAACTCCAAGAAAGCTAGCCTAAGGCTTTGAGATGACCTTCCATCCCAACTCTCAGGTCTTTCTAACATACTTCAGTTTGTTTGAAGCATGGAAAAAAGAAATAGAGGAAAGAGAAATGAGTCAGTATGTGAGTTTTACCCGAGTGGCTATAATAAATAGAAATGAGGTGATTGGACCTCCTCTCATCCAGAGAATGATATAATCTTACCATTTAGGCAGTGTGAAAGTGTAAGAACTTTTAACAAGTACTAATTCTATCCTCAGCATCTATACCCCTGGCATCTGCCTGATCCGTAACAAGTCTTCATCCCTGGGACAATGGAAAAAGATAGGAGAAAGTAGACCTTTCCTCCTCTAGTCTAAAACAGTGTAGTCTAAATTATCAGTCCCTGGTTCAGTTATTCATTCAGTTTATTTCCCAAAAGAACTTTTTCCAAAATACTTAAACTTTTAACTTGAGTAGAATATTATAGTGTTACTATCCACCCTATCTGTATGCCATTTGCTGATCTTAAAATAATTATACTCTACTTATACCTCCCCTTTCATAACAAGTATTCTCTCCCATAGTAACTATGTATCGGAGAGAAGAAATGAGGTAGGAGGCCCTGGGCTCACATCCTCATTACCATAGATATCTTTTTCTAGTCCTTTTCCTGATTGGCTATGAGACCTTCTGGCACATTGTGTCTTGACTCATTTTTTTTCATGTTCTATTTTTATAAGTGTTTTCTGTGTTCATTTGCATTAACTAATTTTATTATTTAAAGTCAAAAGATTTTTTATTATGTATACTAGGAGCTTACGTAGTAAGATGCATAAATTCATAAATTGAAAGTTGTTATGTGAAAGAAGTAATTTATTACTTTCTTGAGCATAAAGGGAAAAACATTTATCTGTTTTTGTGGATGGTCTGCAAAATCCTGAAAAACAAAATAATGGGGAAGTCTGGTGCTTTATAATTAAAATGTATGGAGATTATAACATATACGTAGAAGTTGGTTTATGGCTTGACCTTACAAACTGTGTTCCACAAGTGCATTTAGTCATTGATTTTTAAAACCTTAAGTATGTTTTTTCACCTGAGTGTTATTTTTAATGACTACAGAATATTCCCTCATGGATATGGTATAATTTACTAAACCTGTCCCTGGTTTTCAGACATTTAAGTTCTTGCTAATTTGCTATTTTTTTTGACGTCGATTTATTATGAACATCTTTCTGTATAAAACTTAGTCTGAATTTCGCTTTTCCTCCCTACCTATGCAAGCCCCTGCTATCACAGGTCCTATTGCCTGGCGATATTCTTTTGAAGACAAGATGGCCTAATATTCTTAAAGTGCTTATTAGGACAATGTGTGGCACATTGTAAGTGCAGAATAAAAGCTATTTGCAAACCTTTCCCTGACTCTACGTTGAGACAAGGAAGTAAGAAGGTTTGAAATGGGTTCTTTGAGGCAAGCAGTGAGGTCTTTTAGCGGTAGCACAGCAAGTGATTCCAAGTGGAGGAGGAAAATCCAAAAGATGAAGCTATGAGATGGAAGAGAGTTTCTGTGGTCATTCATCTGTATTGGTTGTTCTCAGTTGTGTATTCTTTACATAAAAGGAATACCTTAACTGGAGACCATTGGAATATAAATTTCTTCCTTTGAGTTAAAATGTATAAGTTTCTTAAGTAATGTATAACAGAGAAATGTTACAAAATACTCTTTAAAATAGTGTGACCATTGTGTGTGTTATCTTTGTTTATTGTATTTGTATTTTATATTTTTTGTGATATTTTATTCAAGTGTGTGTCCAATGATGTCTTCTGTTTTCTTTATTTTTTTTTTAAATTATCCTAGTCACGTGAACTGGAAATTTCAGTTTATTGGCGTGATTGGAGATCTCTGTGTGCTGTAAAATTTCTGAGGTTAGAAGATTTTTTAGACAACCAACGACATGGCATGTGTCTCTATTTGGAACCGCAGGGTACTTTATTTGCAGAGGTAATAAATGTATTTTATTAAATGTGCATAACTACAACTGATATTATATATGTAGGCAGCATTATGTAGAAGTGGAAAGAGTATTAGGCTGAATGACAGACAACTTGAATTCTTAGCTCAACTCTACCACTGAATAGGTATATTACCTTGAGACAAATCATTTACCCTCTCTAGGTCTATTTTCTCATCTGGAAAATGGGGGTTGGACTAAATTAGATATAGCTAAGATTCTCTTAGGTTTTCAAAACTTATAAGTTTAGTGAATTTCATGAATCATAATTCCAATGCTATATTCATGTCAACGTGAATTTTCTTCACTGCAGGTTACCTTTTTTAACCCAGTTATTGAGAGAAGACCAAAACTCCAAAGACAAAAGAAAATTTTTTCAAAACAGCAAGGTAATTACTAAGAAATCGAATACAAACTGTTTTGGTTTTTTGTTTTTGTTTTTGTTTGCTGAGGAAGATTCGCCCTCAGCTAACATCTGTGCCAATCTTCCTCTATTTTGTATGTGGGTCACTGCCACAGCATGACCTGATTAGTGGTATAGGTCTACTATACCACTAATGGATGTAGGTATAGGATCCAAACCCATGAACCCGGGCCGCTGAAGCGGAGCGTGCTGAACTTAACCACTGTGCCACTGGGCCGGTGTTTTCTTAAATATAGAAAATCTACATACTATTTAAAAAGTGATGTCCATCTTTGTTTTTTGTTTCTTTTTATTTGTTCATTCATTTATTTCTAACATTTTATTAAGGAACATTTCAAACATCTCCATAAGTAGAGAGACGAGTGCAGTGTACCATCACTCAGTTTCAACAACAGTCATCTAATGGCCAATTTTGTTTCCTCTGTATCCTGTCCACTCACTACTTCCTCAGATTACTTGAAGCAAACACAGACATTATATCGGTTCCTCCATAAATATTACAGTTAGTATCTCTAAAAAATAAGAATTCTTTGATAAACCTTAACCACATATCATTACTAGACTTAAAACAGTTTCTACCTATTTATTTTTAAAACTATTGCTATTTTGTTCTAGTCTTTAATAACAAATAGTTACGAACTGTTTTCTTAAGTGACAAATTTTATTTGTTCTTCATAAATTACAAACCAATGAATATGATTTTTTAAATTACAGCTTTTGGTAATATATTTAAAAATTACTTGTTCTATATTCTTTCTTCACCATATCCTCAGGCAAAACGTTTCTCAGAGCTCCTCAAATGAATATTAATATTGCCACTTGGGGACGACTAGTAAGAAGAGCTATTCC